TTAATTCAATTTTTTTTTTTTGTAATACCAAATAAAACAATAGAAAATTAATACCTCTTCCTTTTCCATCATTCATGCTAAAACAAAAAAAAAAAAAAAGATGTGGGGGGGGGGGGGATTCCTCCTAATTTTCTATCATTTAACTTTTTCATCATTCTTACCAAAAAAACTATTAATTTAAATGGTGGTCATCATCTTCCATTAGATTATATTAATTTAAATTAAAAATTTTAAAAGTCAAATTAATAATTTTGAAGAACGTGGACTAAAATAAGTTAAAATACATATTTTATAAACCATTATTATACACGTTACTCTTATGTTTTACAATGAACACAATTTCTCTAACATACTTTTCAAGTCAAGAAAGATTACTCGTTCGTTTGTTCGTTCCTACATTATTATTGGATACGTTTAACATGGTATCATGATTATGTTATAACAACTAACAACTTTGTTTATTTCTAGTTGCAAAGGTGTCAAGGTATGCTTGCCTTATTCTAGTAAGTGCAAACTTTATTTAATAATGCATTGAAAAAAAATCATATCTTGATTATTTAATAATACCTTAATATAAGAAACTAATAACACCTTGACTGACTTTACAATGGACCATATAGTTTATGAGATTATTATTATAATATTGGTAAAAAATAATAATTTCCTTTGAGTGATTGTGGAGTTGATAGAGGCTGCAATTACGCGTGATGTAGGAAAGCAACTTGGTCCTCTCATCACTACTATTAAACCACCCCCCCTCCCCCCATCAATCTTTGACCTTTTCTTTGTACTCTTTTTGACTATGTCTCTCTTTCTTCTTTATNTCCCCCCATCAATCTTTGACCTTTTCTTTGTACTCTTTTTGACTATGTCTCTCTTTTTTCTTTATTNGGAGTTGATAGAGGCTGCAATTACGCGTGATGTAGGAAAGCAACTTGGTCCTCTCATCACTACTATTAAACCACCCCCCCTCCCCCCATCAATCTTTGACCTTTTCTTTGTACTCTTTTTGACTATGTCTCTCTTTCTTCTTTATTTTTTTTTGTTATCATCTCATACTAATACTTTTAAATCTTATTTGAATATAAGATGTGACACTTAACTTGTTATTAAATATTGTAAATGATAAAATATTTTTTAAGTTAGTATACAATTTAGTTTTTGTTTTCCTTTTTATATTATTTAAATTTCTTTACATTGATTCATGCATAATTGATTGATAATTTTCTTTTTTTTCAAATATATAAATATTTGAAAAGAATTGTTTTTAGTGTTATTGTGATATATTCAACCATTTGAATTTTGAAAAACCAATATCTATTCATTTGACATTATCCTTTTTGAATCCACGTTGTCTTCTTCACCATTCTAGTTTTGATTTCGANTTTTTAAGTTAGTATACAATTTAGTTTTTGTTTTCCTTTTTATATTATTTAAATTTATTTACATTGATTCATGCATAATTGATTGATAATTTTCTTTTTTTTTTAAATATATAAATATTTGAAAAGAATTGTTTTTAGTGTTATTGTGATATATTCAACCATTTGAATTTTGAAAAACCGATATCTATTCATTTGACATTATCCTTTTTGAATCCACGTTGTCTTCTTCACCATTCTAGTTTTGATTTCAAGTTGTTTTTGGAGTTTTTTGTCTTCAACAATCTATTCCAATCATCATTCCACTCATCGACGCCATATAGTCAAGAGTGAATTACCAGGTTTGTTACGAATTTTTTTCTTCAATATTTCAGATTTTAATAAAAAATTGTTTGTTTGTTTGTTGTCATCTTCAACAATTGTATTTGTTTGGTTTTTTGTGCTCTTGCCATCGGATTTTGAGGAGCTTGAACTAGAGTTGTTACGATTTTTTGTCCAGCATTCTTCTAATTTTTTTTGAAAAATTTGGAATAATTTTATCGTCTTGGACATTGGTTTTTTTTTTTTTTTTGATTTTTTACAAAGTGGATTTTTTTAATTTGGCCATTGTTGATTTTTTGAATCAGAATTTTATAGAAGAATTGTCGTAAAGACTTAACTCTTTCTTTCAATTCAAAAAAACACTTTGTTTATACATCACCTAAATAACCTTTTTTTTTTATATAATAATGTGACAACAAATAGTGAATTTATTATTTAAAAACAAAAAAGCAACACACAATAACGATTTTCCCAAAAATAAACAACTTATACACAATGAGTTTCTTAGATTTGCAACAAAAATAAACAACTTAACTCTTAATATAGAATTCCCCTAATAATAACAATGTATAAATAGCAATATTCTTAGAAACTCAATAGAGTGACTAAATAATGTGAAATGCATACACTTAAAATTTTTTTCAATGCAAATTAGGTACTCGAAGTTCAAAATTTAGGAACAATTTGGAATATCAAGAAATTTACATCATCAACAATGGTGAATACAAACAAGGGTTTTGTATCATTATTTTTATGGAGTTTTATGATAAAAAGAAGATTAAAAATAGTATTGTTTCTTACCTTTGCTCGTCGATAATGTTGGTGAATGAACTATTCCAACGATCGAAGCTTCAAATTGGAAGTTATTGAACTAGAATGTAATCTCCTCTAGACTGTAGGTTTTTTTTTTTTGAGACATAATTACATAAATCTAAAAAAATTTAAAAAGATTTTCTCTCAAGTAAGTCCTAAAAATGGAACCAATTTCCGTTTTTCCCTTCTAATAACAGNTTGGAAGTTATTGAACTAGAATGTAATCTCCTCTAGACTGTAGGTTTTTTTTTTTTTGAGACATAATTACATAAATCTAAAAAAATATAGAGTACTGAAAGAAAGGAGATTGTTTTTTTTCGAATTTCAAAGAAACAAAATCAATGTGATTTTCGTTTCTTACTCGATCCAGTGTCCGTGTTTGAGAGGGAGTGGTCACCGGTTAGTGTTGATTGTGGAAGTGATGTTTCAGTTTCCTTAATCGTTGTTGAGCTTTCAATACTTGTTCTTAGAGAGTCCTACCAACATTTTCCTCAGCGTAGACTTTTACCCAAAAAAAAAAAAAAATTTAAAAAGATTTTCTCTCAAGTAAGTCCTAAAAATGGAACCAACTTCCGTTTTTCCCTTCTAATAACGGTCAACTAATTGAGCTTCATGAAAATCATGAAATTAGTGCTTTGCTCTTGATAAAAATAATATAAAAATTATTTGACGTAAAATCATATTCTTATAATCAATTCAAATTGAATCCAAAAAATATATATGTCATCTCTATTCTTTTTGTCTTTCCCTCCTCTTGTCTTTCTTTTTGTTTCTATACAATACGTAGAGGCACCACTAACTGATTCCTCACCTAACCACAATCAATCACCATACTCTATTTTTTAAGCACACATAAGTGCAACTTTAGATCAATCGTCGCACCACCTCAAGAACAAAAGCAATATTCGATTCGTTTATATATATTTTTAGGGATAATTCATCTCCGAAGGAACGATATAATATAAATAGTTTTGAGAGTAATATTGGTGACCGTTAGATGAATTTATTTGACATCATCAGATAAACTTATTAAAATTTACTTTATTTTATATTATTATAGATAAAATAGTCAATCTTCTCGGGTTTAGCTCAATTATCAACTATGGCCGAGGGTCCCCTGTTGTTAATTTTTTGATAGTAGAAAAATTGTTTATGACGCATTGATATTTCAAAAGAGTCAAAGTATTTGTATCGAATACTTTTTGAATATAGATACGCGTCCACTACGGCTGAATATGTATTCGATACGACTAAGAAAGATCCCAAAATTTTAAAAAATAAATTCGAATTCAGATACTTCAAGATATGTTGGGATACGTAGGGGATACATAGGGGATACGATGGGGTATTACTTGAATTTTTAAAAAAGAATAAAGACAACCGATTTGGACCCTTATTTGAAAAAAAAAAGAAAGAAAAATTTATGAATATATGATTTTTTAATGATAGAATGATTATTTTTTATTATATATCTTTGATAGATATGTAATTCACTTTATAAATCATAATTATTACATAAAATATAATAACAAAATTTTAAAAAAATATATTTTATGGACGTATCCTAGCCATATTTATATTCTATTTAAAAATACGGTGTAATGTGAATGATTTTAAGAGGGATGTTAGTGATCGTTCAATGAATTTATTTGAAATCGTAAAATGAACTTTTTAAAATCTGTCATATTTTATATTATAGATTTTAAGAGAATACAAATACAAGATTTAGACAAAAATATTGTTAGAATCAAAGATTTTTGATTGAGTAGTATAATGTCGAAAAAAAATTTATGTAATCGATTTTAAAATTATTGAGATATGACTTTAGTGAGTAGAGGATTTAGATAAAAATTCTCAAAGAGTTGGTTTGAAAAAAACAAGAAAACGTTGTTTGTAATATTTTCAAATTTCATAAGTCCTGGCTGGCTGGTTGCCAACCCCAATGCCAATGCTTTTATTATTATTATTATTATTATTATTATTATTATGAATAAAGGTGCCGCGTTTTTCGTTTTCTACTAAACTTTGTGGTGGGCGTGTGAAAAGATTCCATTCCATCAATAAAACGAATACGTGAAAGTTTACATTATTACATTTAATGACGCTAAGCCTACGCTTTCACACCAAATAATACAAACAAAACGACAATTGACAACGATGGCCTCTTCAAATCTCACCATGTTCACCTGCTAACATTGCTCCATTTCCAAACCCACAACAAGTCTCTTTTTTTCTCTCTCTCCCTTTCTATCTTCCACTTGCGTTAATCTAGTACTCGGAATGATTTGATTGCTTGGCTGGATTTAGCATTGGCTCGGCCCACTGATGTTATGGTACTCAATATCAATCACAAACAGTGGGTTTTTCTCGAAAAACACGGGACTGAGTGTGGAAATTGAAGAGACAGGGTGTCAGATATAAGAGGGTAGTTGTGTTTTGTTGTGTTGATTGGTTTTCTTGTTGTTGGGTAGATTTGTTTGGAAGATGGCTGGTGGAGCAGAAGAAGGCCAAACATTGGAGTACACTCCGACATGGGTTGTCGCCGCCGTCTGCACCGTCATCGTCGGTATCTCCCTCGCTGTCGAGCGCCTCATCCACTATACCGGAAAGGTACACATCCCTCTCTCTCTCTCTCTTTCAACTATCAGTTTCATTTACTTCTCTTTTTGAAACTAATTGACAAACAATGTATGCAGTTTCTGAAGAAGAAGAACCAAAAGCCTCTCTTCGAATCTTTACAGAAAGTAAAAGAAGGTCCCTCCTCTCCTCTTCCCCTCTATCTCACTTGCCGTTTCGTTGTCACTGATATTGAGGCCTAGTGTGTGAATCGAACAGTTTCTTTCATTTTTTTTTTGGTCATTAGTGACTGTATATATGCACCCACATAATCACACACACACACACACACACGTAGAAAAGTGAGTATCTGATTTTGATTTCATGAATGGATTGGTGGGTGCAGAGTTGATGCTGTTAGGGTTTATATCGCTGCTTCTGACTGTGTTTCAGAACAGAATTATCAAGATCTGTGTGAATGAGGATGTAATGAAGCACCTCCTGCCCTGCTCGTTGCGGCCGGAATCGTCTTCTAACGAAGGAGGAGGATCTTCTCACGCTGAGCCCAAAACAACTTCTCATTTTCAGCGCTTGTTGGCCGAAGGAGCAGCCAATGGTGGTTACTGCGCTGCAAAGGTAATTAAAATAGGCCCTCCTTTTTTTTGTGGTCATGTTGCATCTTGCATCTTGATTCTAACAGTTCATTAAATTTTAACTAGAGATTGATATGTTTATCATTTTTTCTTTGTCTGTCATTTATCTCTATCCGTTTGTCATGAGTGGTAGCATAAATATGTTGTCTTATTTGATCAGGCGGCCTTGATTTGGATTATATAGAGTTACTTATGGTTTGTTGAGCAAGTGTTACACATTTTATTAATCCGGACTTTGGAAGCTTTATGGGGAATGGTTTTCTGTAAAATTGAGGGGATTCCCTTTTTTGGTTTAAACTGCATATTTAAAAGGGTTGTTTCAGTTGTAATTGGGGTTTAAGATAGGAGATGTGTTGTTAATNCAAAAGCAATATTCGATTCGTTTATATATATTTTTAGGGATAATTCATCTCCGAATGAACGATGTAATATAAATTGTTTTGAGAGTAATATTGGTGACCGTTAGATGAATTTATTTGACATCATCCGATAAACTTATTAAAGTTTACTTTATTTTATATTATTATAGATAAAATAGTCAATCTTCTCGGGTTTAGCTCGATTATCAACTATGGCCGAGGTCCCCTGTTGTTAATTTTTTGATAGTAGAAAAATTGTTTATGACGTATTGATATTTTAAAAGAGTCAAAGTATTGGTATAAAATACTTTTTGAATATAGATACGCGTCCACTACGGCTGAATATGTATTCGATACGACTAATAAAGATCCCAAAATTTTAAAAAATAAATTCGAATTCAGATACTTCAAAATATGTTGGGATACGTAGGGGATACATAGGGGATACGATGGGGTATTACTTGAATTTTTAAAAAAGAATAAAGACACCCGATTTGGACCCTTATTTGAAAAAAAAAGAAAGAAAAATTTATGAATATATGATTTTTGAATGATAGAATGATTATTTTTTATTATATATCTTTGATAGATATGTAATTCACTTTATAAATCATAATTATTATATAAAATATAATAACAAAATTTAAAAAAAATATATTTTATGGACGTATCTTAGCCATATTTATATTCTATTTAAAAATACGGTATAATGTGAATGATTTTAAGAGGGATGTTAGTGATCATTGAATGAATTTATTTGAAATCGTAAAATGAACTTTTTAAAATCTGTCACATTTTATATTATAGATTTTAAGAGAATACAAATACAAGATTTAGACAAAAATATTGTTAGAATGAAAGATTTTTGATTGAGTAGTATAATGTCGAAAAAAAATTTATGTAATCGATTTTAAAATTATTGAGATATGACTTTAGTGAGTAGAGGATTTAGATAAAAATTCTCAAAGAGTTGGTTTGAAAAAAACAAGAAAACGTTGTTTGTAATATTTTCAAATTTCATAAGTCCTGGCTGGCTGGTTGCCAACCCCAATGCCAATGCTTTTATTATTATTATTATTATTATTATTATTATTATGAATAAAGGTGCCGCGTTTTTCCTTTTCTACTAAACTTTGTGGTGGGCGTGTGAAAAGATTCCATTCCATCAATAAAACGAATACGTGAAAGTTTACATTATTACATTTAATGACGCTAAGCCTACGCTTTCACACCAAATAATACAAACAAAACGACAATTGACAACGATGGCCTCTTCAAATCTCACCATGTTCACCTGCTAACATTGCTCCATTTCCAAACCCACAACAAGTCTCTTTTTTTCTCTCTCTCCCTTTCTATCTTCCACTAGCGTTAATCTAGTACTCGGAATGATTTGATTGCTTGGCTGGATTTAGCATTGGCTCGGCCCACTGATGTTATGGTACTCAATATCAATCACAAACAGTGGGTTTTTCTCGAAAAACACGGGACTGAGTGTGGAAATTGAAGAGACAGGGTGTCAGATATAAGAGGGTAGTTGTGTTTTGTTGTGTTGATTGGTTTTCTTGTTGTTGGGTAGATTTGTTTGGAAGATGGCTGGTGGAGCAGAAGAAGGCCAAACATTGGAGTACACTCCGACATGGGTTGTCGCCGCCGTCTGCACCGTCATCGTCGGTATCTCCCTCGCTGTCGAGCGCCTCATCCACTATACCGGAAAGGTACACATCCCTCTCTCTCTCTCTCTTTCAACTATCAGTTTCATTTACTTCTCTTTTTGAAACTAATTGACAAACAATGTATGCAGTTTCTGAAGAAGAAGAACCAAAAGCCTCTCTTCGAATCTTTACAGAAAGTAAAAGAAGGTCCCTCCTCTCCTCTTCCCCTCTATCTCACTTGCCGTTTCGTTGTCACTGATATTGAGGCCTAGTGTGTGAATCGAACAGTTTCTTTCATTTTTTTTTTGGTCATTAGTGACTGTATATATGCACCCACATAATCACACACACACACACACACGTAGAAAAGTGAGTATCTGATTTTGATTTCATGAATGGATTGGTGGGTGCAGAGTTGATGCTGTTAGGGTTTATATCGCTGCTTCTGACTGTGTTTCAGAACAGAATTATCAAGATCTGTGTGAATGAGGATGTAATGAAGCACCTCCTGCCCTGCTCGTTGCGGCCGGAATCGTCTTCTAACGAAGGAGGAGGATCTTCTCACGCTGAGCCCAAAACAACTTCTCATTTTCAGCGCTTGTTGGCCGAAGGAGCAGCCAATGGTGGTTACTGCGCTGCAAAGGTAATTAAAATAGGCCCTCCTTTTTTTTGTGGTCATGTTGCATCTTGCATCTTGATTCTAACAGTTCATTAAATTTTAACTAGAGATTGATATGTTTATCATTTTTTCTTTGTCTGTCATTTATCTCTATCCGTTTGTCATGAGTGGTAGCATAAATATGTTGTCTTATTTGATCAGGCGGTCTTGATTTGGATTATATAAAGTTACTTATGGTTTGTTGAGCAAGTGTTACACATTTTATTAATCCGGACTTTGGAAGCTTTATGGGGAATGGTTTGCTGTAAAATTGAGGGGATTCCCTTTTTTGGTTTAAACTGCATAGTTAAAAGGGTTGTTTCAGTTGTAATTGGGGTTTAAGATAGGAGATGTGTTGTTAATGGATCTCTACAATGGACGTTTATCTAGACTTGAGGCTTGGGCAAGAGAATTGTATGCAACATACACCCATGATCACAAAAGGGTATCACATGTTACGGGAGTGCAGGTTTGATTGAGACTGATCTTGTGTGTAATAGCATGTGAAGGACTGCAACGTGCTCATTGGGCATTTTACTAACTACTATTTGTCATGCTTTATATAAGTCCATTGTAACTTGATGCTGCTAATTCTTGTCCATTCTTGCCCATGAACATGCAGAGGAAGACATCTAATTAGTTTTATGTTTCATATCTGTATGTTTTCTTTGCAGAATAAGGTCCCCTTGTTATCTCTTGAAGCATTGCATCATTTACATATCTTCATCTTTGTCCTGGCCATCGTTCATGTGACATTTTCTGTTCTTACCGTTATATTTGGAAGCGCAAAGGTAATTGCTATATTGCATGTCTATTTTTTGCTAACCTTTGTTGTGTTAATCGGTTTTTTAATTTTCTTCCTTTGATTTGTTTTTCATGACGTAGATACGTCAATGGAAGCATTGGGAAGACTCCATTGCAATAGATAAGTATGATACTGAACAGGGTATGTAACATTGCCCTTGAATTTATGTATTTTTACTGTTGCTGTTTTGTCAACAAAATTTTCATCATTTGATGGCACATGTCTTGCACCATGTATATATTACAATGGTATGCCTATTAGCAGTAATGTTAAAATGTTGAGCTTGGTTCCCATTAAAATTTGCAATGCTTCATTTCCATTCCTTTTGGTAACTATTCATTTCAGCCAGGATTATTTTTGCAACTGTAGTTTTCTGACCTCAAATATGGGTGGTGAACAGTGCCATGGGTTTTAAATGCTAAAGATAACTGTTTGTTTACTAAAGAATAACTTTTAATTTTTTCCTATTCAAAATTACTTTCATCTTGTGCATATTACTTCTAATTATGGGCGGTGTTATGCAGTCTTGAGACCAAAGTTCACGCATGTCCATCAGCATGATTTCATCAAGGGTCGTTTTCTGGGTATTGGTAAACAGTCAGCTATTTTGGGTTGGTTGGTGAGTTATTTCCTTCTTCATGTTTTATTTGAACCATTACAGTAAACACCATCATGCTCGAAGTAGTTCCATTTTTTGATTAAAGAGTAATATTTTGCTGTGTATGGGACTTAACTCTGAAAATCGCATCTCGTGATGCCTGGATGACGTGAGCTTGCTTTGTCCAGTCTTAGCTTCTTTTGTGGTCAAGGTCCACTTATGCCCGTGTGATTAAGGCTTATGGCGGTCCAATATATTTGGCCACCTTATGCTATTCTGTTTCCATATGTACTAAATATCCTGCACCAAGACTAACGTGCGGCGTAAAGGAAAACATAAAGGCAACAAACCACAATTATGTATTCCCAATGTGTAGTGGATCTTGAATTAGGCTACCCTTGAGACAGATGGAAGGTGTAGGTGATGTAGATCGTATACCCGATCCTCATCAGTAGGTTTCAAGTTTCAATAAGGGCATAGGTGTGACTGAACTTTCTGGACATAATAACTAGTGGGATGGGGAAACTTAACAAATTTCAGTCTTCAGCCATTAGTTCTGTTTCTTAACTTGGAGGTATCCTGGTATGATCTAAACTTTCCGCCATTAANGGGTGTGACTGAACTTGCTGGACATAATAACTAGTGGGATGGGGAAACGTAACGAATTTCAGTCTTCAGCCATTAGTTCTGTTTCTCAACTTGGAGATATCCTGGTATGATCTAAACTTTCCGCCATTAAATAATTTAAAACCAATCAAATGTTTAATTTTTTATGTAAATCCATTGCAACTATTGTAATTGTTTTTATGTTCATTCCATTTATTATTTTTTTGATTATCTTTTTCTAAGTTTAATGAGCNAGGTGTGACTGAACTTTCTGGACATAATAACTAGTGGGATGGGGAAACTTAACAAATTTCAGTCTTCAGCCATTAGTTCTGTTTCTTAACTTGGAGGTATCCTGGTATGATCTAAACTTTCCGCCATTAAATAATTTAAAACCAATCAAATGTTTAATTTTTTATGTAAATCCACTGCAACTATTGTAATTGTTTTATGTTCATTCCATTTATTATTTTTTTGATTATCTTTTTCTAAGTTTAATGAGCTATCCCTTAACTTTGTTTGGTATTTTGGTTGTGAAAATTTCAGCATTCTTTTTTCAAACAATTTTATGGATCTGTCACCAAAACAGATTATGTAGCCCTGCGATTAGGTTTCATTACGGTAAGCTGCTACTACAAGTGGTTTTGGTCCTAAAAAACTTTGGTCGCTTCTTTCTTGTTACTCTGTATTATTATAATATCCTGGATTTATTCCTGTCATAGACTCATTGCAGGTCAAACCCTAAGTTTAATTTTCACAAGTACATGATTCGTGCCCTGGAAGATGATTTTAGGAAAGTTGTCGGCATAAGGCAAGTGATTTGAGGAGATTTGAATATGCTTCCTATGGAAGTTTCAATGTTTTCTTTGCACCTAGATTTCTAGCCTTTAAGTCAGATATTTTCTCTCTGTTGATTCTACTGATATACGGGTCAATACCTGTTTCATTGGTTGCAGTTGGTATTTGTGGGTATTCGTGGTCCTCTTCTTGTTGCTGAATATTAATGGTATGCTCCATGTTGTCCTTATTTCCTTTTATATAAACCATATCGCTCTTTATTGGTGCATGCCTTCAATTTTGTGAGTTTATCTCATCTAGCATTTCTAGGGACTGCCAACAAATTTTCTTGAGTGCTACCATCTCTAGTTTTTTAACATTCTTATTTGGTTTCCTTGTACATGTGCACTTGCTTTTTTTCATTGAAACTCCCTTCCCCCCCTCCCCCCCCCTTTATTTTTGTTGCCAAGTGTCCAATAGGAAAAAAATGTTAGAACCACCTTGCCTCTGTTGATTTTTCTTGATTCTGTTGATCATTAAGTTGTCAATGAATTAAAGTGGTGAAAGCTGCACACCATTTTCAACCGTAGTTGTCCTGTGGACATGTTTTCTATTGTCTAGCATCATCCAATAGGTATGAGTTGTCAGGGCGTTGGAGAAGAACCTATGCAATTTACTCTTGGTGCTCAATTTAATGGGCAATGCCCTCTTAAATTGCCACTTCTTATCGTCTCTTACTTTTGAGAAAGAGAATTGTCTTGCCATATATTTACCAAATGGTATTTTGCACATCTGTGAATATTTTGCGCATCAACCAAATTGTAGAGAATTTTATCACTCCAGACTTCGAGAGAGAGCAATCCTTAGGTTCTTTTTATCCATCAAATTAAGCCATAATTCTTCATTATGAAGGATTGTGCATGTAGTTCTCCTTACCCACCCACCTATGGAAAATAACATAAAGCACCCTTGTCAGTGACGTCCGTTTATTTAAACAGATGCAAAATGAGGATATTACCCTCCATCTAGTAAGCATCTTTACCACTCACCCACCAAGCCCCCTTTTCCCCCTCTGATAGTGATCTCTACAACCCTTCCCCTACCTCAAAACAAACCCTCCACTCATCAGTCTCCTTTGGCCGACGACCACCACCATGGATTGCAAACCGGTGCATGAGTGTTTTTCCTCCTCCTCCTTCTCCTCTTCCTCCTGTTCTTTTCTCTCTCTCTGTTCACGCATACATAATCACACACAAAACTCACTCAAACCCACTAACTTCACTGCTGCTCAAAACCCGCTGAAACCCCAAATCCACCACCTCCAAGAGACACCTACTACCCCACTTCCACCCCACCCTCCAAGCCATTCCGAAAAACCCTATTTGCAAATCTTAGATTGAAAATTCTAGAAATTAAAATTGTGGGGGAAGTGAGATGTGATGAGGTGCGAGGTTGCGAGAATGGGAAAAGGGGTCTATGAGAGGAGGGTGTGGAGACAGAGAGAGAGAGAGAGAGGGGGGGGAGGGAGAAAAGGGAGGGTGGTGGATAGGAATTGGTGAATTAATGGTGGATTGTAGTGGGGTGAATGTGCTAAACTGGTGGAGGTGGAGGTGGAGGTGCGGGGTGATGGTGATATGCGGTGAATTGTGACGGGGGTTGTGCGAGGTGGGAGTGGGTGGGAGGCAGTGGCACTGTGTAGGGTGGAGGTAGAGGTGGCATAATGGCGGGGGAAAGGGGAACAAGTAGCTATCCGGAGTAAGAGTGGGAGTGGGGNCGGGGTGATGGTGATATGCGGTGAATTGTGACGGGGGTTGTGCGAGGTGGGAGTGGGTGTGAGGCAGTGGCACTGTGTAGGGTGGGGGTAGAGGTAGAGGTGGCATAATGGCGGGGAAAAGGGGAACAAGTAGCTATCCGGAGTAAGAGTGGGAGTGGGGGACGGTGGCAGAGTGGCGGAAATGAGGTGTTGATACTTGGTAGGTAGCAAGGGCGCTATGCAGGGATGTTGGGTGGGAGAGGCCGGCAGGTTGGATGGTGATGCCGTGGGGAAGTTGCAATGTATGAGGTGAATTAGTCATTTTCTTCTAATTTTTATATCTTACATCATCAAATTTTTTACAGAATGTTAACGTTTAGGGGAATCTCTTACCGACAACCAAAGCAAAAGGATATGCAGTGTTATTTTACATACATGAGGGGATCTACTTCTTATTTGAACAAACCTGAGGGGACATGGATGTAATTTACCCTGCCTTAAAATATGTGCAAAAAATTGTATTTATGGTAGAAGAGTTTTTTGTATTCTGCATCTGCATGTAACATTTATTATGCTCCTTGAATTGTGGCATTGGGCTGTTACAAGGGGAAGCCTCGAAAGGCAAACTTGTGTGCCCATCTACTTGAAGATTATTTGTTGAAGAATTAATGTTTTTTATGTCTTTCGGTGTAGGTTGGCATACATATTTTTGGATAGCATTCATCCCTTTCGGTGTGAGTGTCCCTTCACAAATCCTTACCTGAATGGTTATTGATGTCTATCATGCTTAAGGCTATTTGGTGACACCTTTTTTAAAGCAAATCTAATGTTCTCATAATTAAAGAATGAGCAACATTTTTGTGGTTGGTACAGGGCTGTTGACCCGCCCCTTTTGGAGAAATTCTAAAACCGGGCTTAACTGTCAGTGATTGATTCTACATGATCCGGAAAGAAATATTGAAAATTCAAGAGTTGAAAATTGATTATTAGAAATGGTTAGGTTATGGTAATAATGATGGGTATCCAATGTTTGCCTGTTGGGCCAAAGCATTTAGAAAGTATTTCAACTGGCAACTTTTATTTTCTTATCAGTATGGCTCTTATGTACTGGGTTCATTCAAAGTGCTTGACTTATTGGGTCTGTGATTTGTCACGCAAAGGTGTATCCATGGGAAAATTGCCATCTTTTGCAATTGCGGCTAGTTATATATGCACGTATGCGTGTTTACATACTTGTCTCATGATAAACATCTCCGTTCAATGCATCAGTGCAATATAAATTTAAATTGCACTGGTCTGAACTGATATTTACATACTTGTCTCATGATAAACATCTCCGTTCAATGCATCAGTACAATATAAATTTAAATTGCACTGGTCTGAATTGATATTATTTTTCCTCTATTCACATTTTCATTTATTTGTTTTCAGCTTCTACTTGCTGTTGGCACTAAGCTGGAGCATGTAATTGCCCAGTTGGCTCATGAGGTTGCTGAGAAACATATAGCCATAGAAGGCGAATTGGTCGTAACACCTTCTGATGATCACTTCTGGTTCCACCGGCCCAGCATTGTCCTTTTCTTGATCCATTTTATACTATTCCAAAATGCTTTTGAGATCGCATTTTTCTTTTGGATATTGGTAAGCTGATCTCTAGAGGCTTCTTTTTGGTTATTGATTACAGTAGGTATTTGTGATCACGTAACCTTGGATGCCTTAATCCTGCAGCTTCAGTATGGGTTTGACTCTTGCATAATGGGACAAGTCGCTTATATTTACCCCAGGCTGATTATAGGGTAGAACCTCTCTCTCTCTCTCTCTCTCTCTATTGTATGATGCCATTGTTTCTTTTAGTTTACTATTGTCATTATGATGGTTTTATTTTTGGCCTTTTAGGGTAATCATCCAGGTACTATGCAGTTACAGCACTCTGCCACTTTATGCTATCGTCACCCAGGTATGCTTTTTTTTTTTTAATCAGGTTACCCAGGTATGTTTAGTTGTGCAGTTCCTTAGAGAAAAAGTTGGAGTGTTGCAAACAATTAATCTTACCTCTCTCTCTATGTGCACGCGCGCGTGTGGATGGGATCTAGATGGGAAGCTCTTTCAAAAAGTCAATATTTGATGAGCATGTGCAAACGGGCCTTGTTGGGTGGGCTCAAAGGGCAAAGGGAAAGAAGGGGTTGAGGGTAGGAACCAATGGCTCTGGCCAAGGCAGTTCAACAGATGGTTCTACTGTGAGAACTCAACCAGGAGGAGTTGGGCACAAGGCACCTACTCCAGGAGGGGATGTTGAGCTTACTACTGCTCCGTAAGGACTTGAACGAGTAGTGTATATTTTGGGATGATACTGGGCCATAATTCTCTCTAATGCATACCCCTCCGATTTTGTACACATTTCACAGCTGATAGCCATATATATATAGAGAGAGGGAATGCTCAAACTCGGCTGAAATGTATGAAATTATGAATGTATGTTTGGCAGTGTAACTTTTAAATATGCCATATTAGGGGGACTGGCATGTTTAGCTGGCTTGGATTCCATTGAAATGGCCTTCTATNCTGAAATGTATGAAATTATGAATGTATGTTTGGCAGTGTAACTTTTAAATATGCTATATTAGGGGGACTGGCATGTTTAGCTGGCTTGGATTCCATTGAAATGGCCTTCTATCAATTTTGTTAAATGTTAAAGGTATGTTTTGACAGTAATAAGAAACGCTTAATGCTAGTTAGTTTTTTGGACATGCTTTCCAGTACTAGATTTTTATGGATGCTATTGGCGTCTTATATTTAACCAAATTGAAATGAAGATCCAACCTATGGATATTTTTTTCAATGTTGAAAACTATAAGAAGAGTTTGTCATTACACTTGAAAAGTTGTTACGACGCAAATTAAACTATCGCTGTCAATTTTGTCATGTTCATAATAATATTATTTATACTNGTATGGATATTTTTTTCAATGTTGAAAACTATAAGAAGAGTTTGTCATTACACTTGAAAAGTTGTGACGGCGCAAATTAAACTATCGCTGTCAATTTTGTCATGTTCATAATAATATTATTTATACTTGACTGATTAATCTCAAATTGTACTTTGAAAGATCGTTTGAATTTTAATTTGTATCATCAAAAAAAAAAATTTGTATCAATGCGCACTTTAATCTAAAAGTCGTTAGTTTGTCGTTTAAAACTAAATGAATAAATTATATTTAGATCTCCTCATGTTTGTCACGTATACCTTTCACATTTGAAATATTCCTTCAGAATTCAAATATAACTAAAAATGTTCCCCCAATTGAGCATTCATAATAATTCTAATTAAGTGATGTATTGCATTGAATTCAAANTTAAATGAATAAATTATATTTAGATCTCCTCATGTTTGTCACGTATACCTTTCACATTTGAAATATTCCTTCATTTGAAATATTCCTTCAGAATTCAAATATAACTAAAAATGTTTCCCCAATTGAGCATTCATAATAATTCTAATTAAGTGATGTATTGCATTGAATTCAAAAAATATTTTATAAATACCTGTATTATATTGGACATTCAAATGTTAAACTTGATTTTAAACTTTAGAGTATAACATACCCTTAAAATAAAAGGTAGTATGAAATTATAATTTTTTTTATTAGGATGAAATCATATTTTTTTAACGGTTATATTAACATATATTAATGNACATTCAAATGTTAAACTTGATTTTAAACTTTAAAGTATAACAGACCCTTAAAATAAAAGGTAGTATGAAATTATAATTTTTTTATTAGGATGAAATCATATTTTTTTAACGGTTATATTAACATATATTAATGACAAGGGGTTATGTGTTACACGTGTACAAACATCAGGAGGTGTAAGAGTAATATTCTAAATGTGAGAGGTTTAAATAATTAAGTGACAAATATGAGAGTATTTAGGTATAATTTATCTATTTATTTTTAGAAGGACGACTGTAAATTTCAGATGTACATTGATTAAAAAATTCTATTTTTGAGATTATAAATTAAAATTTNATCAGGAGGTGTAAGAGTAATATTCTAAATGTGAGAGGTTTAAATAATTAATTGACAAATATGAGGATATTTAGGTATAATTTATCTATTTATTTTTAGAAGGACGACTGTTAATTTCAGATGTACATTGATTAAAAAATTCTATTTTTGAGATTATAAATTAAAATTTTTGATTTTTGAGGGTATAAATTCAAATTCAAACAATATTTTAGAGTACAATTTATAATTAACCAAATTTTTTTTTTTAATGTAGAACCTGAAGTAATTCAAGTGGTAATAGAGACAAGTTATAAGTCTAAACGTCATGAGTTTGAATTTTGACAACTCTTTGGATTTAGTTATTAAGAATTTATCTTTCAAAAATAATCTAATATTAATGTAAATAACTTATTTTTTGTCGGACCGAGAAAAATTAATTAAAATNATTTTTTTTTTTTAATGTAGAACCTGAAGTAATTCAAGTGGTAATAGAGACGAGTTATAAGTCTAAACGTCATGAGTTTGAATTTTGACAACTCTTTGAATTTGGTTATTAAGAATTTATCTTTCAAAAATACTCTAATATTAATGTAAATAACTTATTTTTTGTCGGACCGAGAAAAATTAATTAAAATGCGCAAGCCCGAATAAACCTAAATATCGAATAAAATAAATAAATAAATAGGTAGTACAAATTAGATCATGTTAGGATAACATGCCACTNATGCGCAAGCCCGAATAAACCTAAATATCGAATAAAATAAATAAATAAATAGGTAGTACAAATTAGATCATGTTAGGATAACATGCCACTGGCTTTTCCACAGTTTGAATCACAGTGCTTAGCGGGAAAGAAGACCCTGCACTCGGACTCAGCTTCACTACTGCACCATCATAGGGCGCCAATGGTCTTATCAATGGACGCTCATATCAATTCCACCAACGAAAACAAGAACACCACCACCACCGCCGCCGCCGCCAAGAAGAGACCAAGAAGTGCCCGAAAAACAAAACCAAAAACTGAAGAAGGGGTTTCAATAGGAGACATAGAAGATATCAGTTTCCGAGACGAAGAAACCCTAGAAATTAGGGCTTCTCTCCTGGAGTGGTACGACCTCAATCAGAGGGACCTCCCGTGGCGAAGAATCAGTAATAATAACAGTGGTGTGGATAAAGGTGATGATAATGAAAGGAGGGCTTATGCCGTGTGGGTTTCTGAAGTTATGCTTCAGCAAACTAGGGTTCAAACAGTAGTAGACTACTTCAACCGTTGGATGGAGAAATGGCCTACTCTTCATCACCTCTCTCAAGCTTCTCTTGAGGTATGTTGTTCCCTTTTCTTGATTAGTTTGTTCGTTTTTCAGAATTTTATGTATCAACAATTGCAATTTGTTTCAAAATGCAGGAGGTAAATGAGACTTGGGCAGGCTTGGGTTACTATAGAAGGGCGAGGTTTCTGCTTGAGGTCAGCTCTCTTTTCAATCTTTCCCAGTTGCTTGCTTCACTGTGCTGAAAATCGAAATTCAATCATTGGATTATTGTGTTTGCACGCAGGTATGTATAGGTAGGTTATATGTCTGTGCCACAAGAACTTAATCAAAACCACCAAAACAACTCTAAAGTACGCTAATCAATTTAAAAGTATGTCTTCTGTCTGAAATCCCATCATAGAATTTCTCCTGTAACTCTGATTTCGTGAGCATTTAGTTGGCATTCTGGATAGCGGAAAAGATGATGTGCCTTAAGATTTTGACATATGTCAATAGATTGTACGGTTTAGCTTGTGAGATTGCTCTCATTTGTAGCAAGTTGTCTATGAATTTTACCTTGTTTTAATACTTATTCACCCAGTGGCAGTTGCCTTCGTTTGTTCAAATGTTCTTGGCTAAACAAGATGCTGAATCTTTAGAATTCTCAGCACTCAACAACTTAGATATAGATCTTTTGGCTTAATGCTTCTAATTAGACCTAGTATCTCCGTCATTACAACCCCAAGAAGCTCTGCTGTCAATGACTTAGATACACCTGTCTTTTCTCCTTAAACCTATAGCTGTTCAAGTTTTGTGGATTTCAAACACACTGGTAGTTCATGAACTCAACTTGTTTCATTAAAACCCTAAACAAATTTTTTTTCTTCTCAATTTTATTCCCATGTTTTGAAGACCATGGAGATTTGAATCAACGGTCACCTAGGTGCACCACTTGAAGTAGTTATATTATCGCTGTAGCAGCATATTACTTGTTCCTTTAACATCTAATTGTTTTCATTGTTAGGGAGCAAAAATGATTGCTCAAGAAGGAGGTGGATTTCCCAGAACAGTCGCCGCTCTTCGGAAGGTCAGTGGAATAGGAGACTACACGGCTGGTGCAATTGCCTCTATCGCCTTCAAGGAGGTTATAGCTTCTGTAAATTTTTGTCATACAATTATATAATGAGCCCCTTTGCCATTTCCATAATTTCAAGCTTGCTGTTTAGGTGGTTCCCGTGGTTGATGGAAATGTAGTCAGGGTGATTGCCAGACTTAAGGCTATATCAGCAAATCCAAAAAAAACTATGACAGTCAAGAACTTTTGGTAAGCTTTTGTCATCGCTAAATATCTTACTGTCATGCTTTTCAGTTATCATATTCATTTACTGATTTGATTTTAAAGGTGAAAATGTGTATTTGAATCTCCCTTCCTCTCTCTCTCCCTCTCCCCTATGGGTCAATGGTAAGATGACAGAAATTACTAATTGATGTAATCATTGAATTTATTTGTTGCATTCTTTTGGTCGTTGTTTCTTCCAATATTGAATGCCATTCTTGGTTGGATAAGATGCATGCACACATACAAGACATTGTTCATCCGTGATCACGCAAGTGCTTGTGGTTTTGAGTCTTTTGACTAGGGCAATGACACATCCGAGATGATTATATTTTTCCGTGTCATGAATGTTGTGCTTGGCATATCATTCCACCACCTGGATGTTTTTGTTTAAAGTTTTCATTTTTCCTTTTCCTGACTGCGTTTTATATACTTTTTTGATTAGGAAGCTAGCTGGCCAATTAGTCGATCCTTGTAAGCCTGGGGATTTCAACCAGGCTCTCATGGAACTCGGTGCAACAATCTGCACTCCATTGAGCCCAAGTTGCTCTGCATGCCCTGTCTCAGGCCAATGCTGTGCATTGTCCATCTCCAGACGCAAAAAATCTGTACTAGTTACAGATTATCCGATGAAAGTTGTGAAGGCCAAACAAAGGCATGATTTTTCTGCAGTCAGTGTTGTGGAGATAGTAGAAGGTCAAGATATGGGGGTGGGACCTCAATTTGACAGCAGATTTCTTCTTGTAAAGAGGCCAGACAAAGGTTTACTTGCAGGCCTCTGGGAGTTTCCATCTGTCCTCCTGAAGGGTGAATCTGATTTGGCCACAAGGAGGGAAGCAATTGATCATTTATTGAAACATTCATTCAATATAGACCTTAAGAAGTCCAGTAATGTAATTCTAAGGGAAGACGTAGGAGAATACGTTCATGTCTTCACCCATATTCGTCTCAAAATGTGTGTAGAATTGTTGGTTGTATGCCTAAAAGGTCTCTCTCTCTCTCTCTCTCTCCATGCACAACCAAAATCTCATATGTTTTAGCTTTCTACGTTGTTTTGATCCATATTTGCTTTCTACTGGCATGAAGGCGGGAAAAACACGTTGCAAGGAAAACATGGTGAAGAACCTACTGCTTGGAAATATGTTGATGGCAAGGCCCTTTCGAGCATGGGATTAACGTCTGGAGTCAAAAAGGTAATGTGGCAAATTGACAACAGAATTTTATTTTTCATAATATGATTTATGACAATCTGAGCTTATTTACAGTGAAATTTAAACAGTGCCAAATTGTTAATCAATAAGCACATTTAATGATGGAGAAATAAATAAAGGCCAATTTTGAAGTGAAAAGCACAAACCCTATCCATGAAGCAAAATATATAGTAGCATCCCCGTACAGGGTGTGATTGTTTTCCTTGTTTGATTTGCTTATGCCTTTACATAAGTGATTGGCATGGTCGATGACCCCTTGAATATACCTTTTTCAATTTCCTGCATATACTTTTTCGCACTATTTGTTACAAATATTGTCTTTCTAACTTGTAGTATAGGAACGAATACCCTGTTGGTAGTTTTACTATGGTATGGCATGTATATAAAGTAACCGGTATGGAATTCAGGTGGTATAATGATGAGTTTCCATTGGGGCTAACAAACATCTAGTGATTTCTTCTTTATNACCATCAAAATGATACCATACCGTACATATATTTCATTGGCATATGGAATTCAGGTGGTATAATGATGAGTTTCCATTGGGGCTAACAAACATCTAGTGATTTCTTCTTTTTATTTTTCCCTTGTTTTAAGGTGAGCTCCTGGAACATTACTCTGAAATTTAAATCCGTCAATAGTTACTTTAGTTTCTTTTTTATGATTTTAATTTCTAAACAACAAAAGATTGCCCACACCCACCACTGTGGTGTGGGAGGGTTGGATATATGTAGTCTTTACCCATGCATGCGGAGAGGCTATTTCCCGTGACTTGAACTGATAACTCCTAGTTCACAATGAAAGAAACCTCACCACTACATTAAGGTCGGCCCCATTCTGGACATAACTTAAAAATAATTTTGCAACTCAATATTTGAGGAACGAAGCAATTTCCTTGTGTTTGGTATGTATAACCTTTACATTTATCATGTGCATTGTTTTCATTGTCACGTATGTGCATTTACTCTTCATGATACAGGTTTACACTATGATTCAAAAATTTAAGCAGAGCTTGGCTACTTCCATCCCATCAACAACAAGAAAGAAAAGAACACCAAGAGGCTGAAGCATTGCATAAGTTAAGCCAGCTTCTGGACCATTGCACATTTTGTCGATTGCTATAATGCTTTGTCTTCCAGAAGATTGCGTCATTTTGTGGGGCTCAAATCCACCTTAAGTTGGGTTCCGCTGGTCATTTCGTGTTGTTATCCAGAGAGTAAGTATTTTTAGAAATATATGACTATCTGAGTTCACAAATGAGTATAACTTATCAGCATTTGAGCCATTTTCTAAATGAAGGTGGTTTTGGAATTGTCACAGATGAAAGAATGAGCACTCAGCATGCGCCGGCAACTCATAAAAATGATGTTATGTTGGTAGATCACTCACTATGTACTAAGCTTATTCACTGTGCATGATACTGAGTCACAGTGCTACTCTTACTTATTGTATTGTTGTATTAATTACTTAGGAGGCATCATTTCTTGAGGTAAGTTTGTATACCTTGGCTTGGAAAGATAAGATTGGCTAGGTAGAACTATGATTCGGAAAAATCATTTAATTGTTTTTTCGTTGAAACTCCTTCGGTGGATCAATTATCTATTTTTTAGCCACTTTATTGAAGAATCACAAAGCATTCTCATACAGGTATGTCACAGACCATGAAAGATTACATCTCTACAACCTCTATGTATGATATCATATCATATAATGCCTCTAAAATAACCTGTACAGCAGCAAAATATATGTAGCAGAAGCATCAAAGACCATGATGATCTTCAATCTCCAACATCGATCTAGCCCCAGCAACAGGGGCCACGATTGGGGCCCAAGCCTGATCGACCCCACCATTGCTTGTTGACTGTGCGATCTGCCAATAATCTCCGTCAGCTCTCTGAGGAGTGTGCGGAAATGGCGTGAACAGTCCATGAACCACAATCCTGTTGTTGTACAGCACATCAGGGCTCTTGATCCTCACGTGGTTTATCAATAAACCTCCGCCACCTCCCGCGTTGGTCACCACCAGCTGCTTCCCACTTTCCATCGTCGGCAACACTGTCTCTGCCGGCAAACGCATCAACTCATCAGCCATTAATAGCCTGTTGGGTACAATGTGAAATCTCAAATCGGAGACGTACGAGGTATGCCCGCCGGCGAATATAGATTCGTCGTCGAGAGCGAACACCGTAAGGGCCTTGAGGTCCGATAGCTCTGCGTAGTACTTCACTCTAATAGCGAGAGCCAGTAAACTGTACCCGTTGGTGCGTAGTCTGAGCATGGCGTCTTTTAGCATCAGGCGCATGATAAAGAACGACGCCGTGGGTGGCGGATGAGAAGGGAATGAGAGAGAAGTCATTCGCTCGACATTGCAAGAAAGCGGAGAGAGGTGAGAGACGAAGCCTTGAAGGCCATGAACGATGATCAAGCCCTTGTTGAAGAGGTTCGGACGAGTTATTTCTGCGCCGTTGATGAAGACTTTCTGAAGGGAGGCGGAGGTGGTGCCGGTGGTGATGGTGAGACAGCGGTTGGGGGATAGGGTTTCGAGTTTGGTGCCGAAGGGTAAGGTGAGGAGAAAGTGGAGGGGGTAGAGGCCGGGAACGGAGTGTTCTTGAAGGAGAAGAGGGAGGGAACAGGAAGGACAGGTGAGGAGGGAAGAATCGGTGGGGGCGAAGATGGTGGTGGGTATGGAGAGAGAGGCGGTGGTGGCGGCGGAGGAGAGTTCTTGAAAGCCTAGTGTGCTGAGGATGATGGCAAAGAGAGACGGTGGGTATGCGTGGTCTTGATGAGGATTTGATGATGGAGCAATAGATGATGTTGAAGCGGTGGCTGTGGTGGCGCTTGTGCATACGAAGATACAGGTGAGGATGATGAGTAGCAGAGAGGTCGCCATGGATTACTACTAGGGTTTCTGGTGCTGAAACAGAGAATTTAGAGAGAGAGATGATTGCAAGTTGAGGACGTGTGTCAGTTATATGTATAACGGACCGAAGGAAAGGAACACTAGAGCGGAGGGAATCGGGAGTGAGTTCAGTTGGAGTTTGTTGAAAAAAGTAACAACATGCCCAACTGTAAGAGTATTTGGACTTGTTACCCTCAAATTTTCATAAACTTAATTATAATTAATTACCTATAAATTATGCACACATGATAAATTTTAAAACTTACCCAAAAATCAGCATTACTGCCTTTAAATAATAAATTTTAAATTTTATTTTATTCAAAAAACATTTAACCCATTAGAAATCATGAGTCATCTCCGTATTAGAGTTTGGGACATGACTACGGTACCGAAAAATAAAATTTTGGTATTGTACTAACTTTTATCATATTTATGAGTGTTTTGTGACATTTGTGCGTGTTTTAATTATTATTGTTGTAATAAAAAAAATAATAAAAATACTTAGCATAATGGTGGTAAAAATTTACAAACTGTGATAGAATTACCCACAAACTGAAACCAGAGGCTTTCAATGCTCCCTTCTCTTCCACCCCCCTTTTGACTGACCACCCCCACTGTGATGGAGGAGGACCCCATGAAAGCTCAGGAAAGATCATAGGAAGAAGATGATCACCTAGAGAGTACAAAAAAAATCAAGGAAACACATAAACGCCCTGCTGATGACGAGATGCAAATGGACTCACTCTCACAACAGAGATTTGAATCCACAGACAACCAATTACCAGATTTTTCAATCCCTATTGAAGGACGCCAACAAAGAAATTACAAAGCAGCCCTTTTGGAAGACAACAATGCAATCTATTTCGATGATGAAAATTATGAAGATTCTACTGATGAAGAAGATACTGCACTGAATGAAGAGGCAGGGGATCATCCTATAAGACCTGCAAACCAGAGAACCACAACAATTGACTTCTCAGATGAAACCTGCCCAAATATTAAGCTATCGCAGAAAACACTCCAACGAATTAGGTGAAAGTGGAAGGATGGCCTCTTGGTAAAGCTCCTAGGGAGAAATATTGGGTACAAGGTTCTTTGTATGAAAGTTAGAAATCTATGGAATCTCCATGGAGATTTTGATGCAATTGATCTTGACAACAGATTTTACCTGTTCTATTTCCATATGAAGGAAGATAGTTTCAGAGTTTTTACTAGTGTCCCTTGGGATAATCATGAAACATTATCTCACTGTGAGGAAATGGGAACCCAACTTCATCCCTTCCAGGGCTTTGGAAGTTACTACGGCACTTTGGGTTAGACTACTGGAGTTACCACTTGAATACTATGATGAGAGGATACTTTACTAGATTGCCAAAGCTCTAGGGAAACCTATCAAGGTCGACAACAAAACAGCTGCAGCAGAGAGAGGAAAATATGCTAGGATATGTGTTGAAAGAGACCTCAATATACTGTTGATTCCCAATTACAGACTTGGAGGGAGACTATATAGTGTGGAATATGAGTGCATTCACTCGATCTATTTCAACTGCGGGAGAGTGGGCCACAAAGAATCGTATTGCCTGTTTTCCACGGCCAGAACTATCTCCCTAGATACTACCGAAAAAGCTCCCACACTGGAAACGGTCACACCCAAAAAAGCTGCGAGTACTGAACGACTACTTGCTAATTCGTACGTTGAGACAGGGACAACTCGAAGTAAGATTGGAGATGAAGAGTTTGGGCCTTGGATGCTGGCCCAACCAAGGAGAAAAAGAGGACAGATGAAGAAAAAAGATAATGGGCTTGCCACGACCCAGAGCCCAAACAGATTCAAAGCATTAGAGACTATAAATGAGGACCCCCAATAGGCTCAAGCCCAAGAGAAGGACATGTACGAAAACCAAAACCAGAGGAGAGAAACTCTTACCGATAAGAACCCCAAGTCTGGTTCAAGAAGAACTAGAGATCAGGTAGTCAAATTTGTTTGGACCCAAATTCCTAAAAAAAGATCTGGTCCTTCGTCTTCCACCTAGAAATCCAACGAAGGTCAAGGTACCTTGGAATACTCATCTGATCCTACGGCAAAAATTTCGTCTGTGAACCAACAGCCCTCTATCTCCTCGACTTCTAACCCCACCCACCTCCCCATCCCCCTAACCCTTCCAATTCACACAGACCTTACATCCTACCATCACCATTAGAACGTCAACAGTGAAACACCTCCTAGAACCCTCAAGTTACCTAAATCACCCAACCCCTATGGAGGTAAACCCACTAAGATTTTACAATCTGGACTCGATCCCAATAGATTTGATGTTCAGATCGAGGGATGTGAGCAAATGACTTGTGAATACCTACTGGGTGATCAAGGAGGTATCACTAGTGTTACAACCGTGCTCCCTCAGGAATATCACGAGCAGATCCACAGTGGTCTCGATAGCATCGGTGATTCCCTTCAGGGAAAGGGTGAACCAAATAAGGGTCATCCTGGACCTCAATGATAACGCCCATCTTCNCATCGGTGATTCCCTTCAGGGAAAGGGTGAACCAAATAAGGGTCATCCTGGACCTCAATGATAACGCCCATCTTCCTCCCTTTTTGATGATGCACTCCATGAAGATCTTAAACTGGAATTGTAGAGGAGCTGGTAATGATAAATTTCGGAGAGCTTTTGGTGACATTTATAGGGCCCTTAAGCCGAAAATAGTTGCACTCATGGAAACTAAAGTCCCTAGTTCTCAACTCGGGAACTTTTTCTCCCAATTTGGTCTGACTATGTCCGGAAAAATAGAACCTGAAGGAAGAGCAGGGGGAATATGGCTTTTGTGGGATCCCTCACTTGTGACAGTGAACATTCTTCAGTCAACTACCCAGGTCACTCATGCACGCATCACACGTCCTGATTTTGATGAATGACTTTTTTCTGCAATTTATGGTAGCCCCAACCCCAACAATAGAGATCAACTCTGGGACAACTTAAGCCAAACTGGAGATAACTACTCCTACGGATGGATGACTGCTGGGGACCTAAATGACTTCTCTAGTAACTTAGAAAGAAGAGGGAGACATGCAGACCACAACAACAGAACCAGAAAATTCAGAGAACGAATCAACAAATGTGGACTCATCGAACTTGGGTGCAGCGGTCCGAGACTCACTTGGAATAACAAGCGAAAAGGATTAGCAAATACCAAAAACAGATTGGACAGAGCCTTGGCGAATGCACAATGGACCACATAGTTCCCAGAAGNAAAAGGATTAGCAAATACCAAAAACAGATTGGACAGAGCCTTGGCGAATGCACAATGGACCACATAGTTCCCAGAAGCGACGATTTGCAATCTTCCCAGAACCTATTCAGACCACTGTCCACTTCTTATCCAACTGAAAGGTAATTCTCCTCATGCTTCTTTACCTAAACCTTTTAGAATGGAAGCTGCCTGGTTAACAAGGCTTGACTTTAAAAATGTTGTAATCGATACTTGGAACCAGTCTAATAACTCCCTTTTTCAAGCTACCAATAATTTTGCAAAAAATGCGAAGGAGTGGAACTCTACAGTCTTTGGAAACATATTCCAAAGAAAAAGAAGAGTTCTGGCTAGACTAGAAGGAATACATAAAGCACAAGAGATAAATCACACCCATAACCTAGAGAAACTTGAGGAACAACTCTTAATCGAGTACGATCAAAATTCTGGAACAAGAGGAAATCCTTTGGCATCAAAAATCAGGGTCCAAATGGATCAAACTTGGGGACAGAAATACAAAATATTTCCATGTGTCTACAATAATTAGAAGGAAAAAAAACAGACCCTAAGTCTGAAAAATTTCCAAGGTATTTGGGTATTCGAAAAATTTGAGATTGAAAATATTGTACATGAGTATTTCAAAGATTTATTTGGGTATGATAATTCAGTTGAACTAGTGCACCTCCACAACTATCCTCACCCTTCTTTGAACCTGGTTGATCATCAAATCCTTGAAAACCAAATCATTGATTATGAAATTAAAAGAGTTATCTCTAATATTGGGGCTTACAAAGCCCCAGGACCAAATGACCTACAGGCCATTTTCTATCAAAAATATTGGGATGTGGTGAGGGTGTCGGTATGTAATCACATTAAAGATATAATTAAATCAAGGAAATGCATCAAAGAGATAAATGCAACATGGATCACATTAATCCCCAAAATTGATAAACCAGTCATGGCATCACAGTTTAGGCCAATAAGTCTCTGTAATGTGAGCTATAAAATCCTTTCCAAACTCCTTGTGGCAAGGCTCAGACCTTTCCTTGATAAACTTATCAGTCCCAACCAAAGTAGCTTCATACCAGGGAGACAGATCATTGATAATGTTATTATCACTCAAGAGATCATACATACAATCAAAAGGAAAAAAAGGAATGTGGGAGATATAGTTATTAAAATTGATCTTGAAAAGGCCTATGACATGATCAGTTGATCTTTCCTTCACCAGACACTTATAGACTTTAATTTTCTAGATTCTTAGATTGAGATAATTATGAGTTGTGTCACAAGCTCTTCCGTCTCTATCTTATGGCATGATGAACCTCTTAGCCCTATCACACCTAAAAGGGGGCTTAGGCAGGGTGACTCGTTGTCACCCTACCTCTTCACACTTGGTATGGAAAAACTGGTCAATTGATTAATAAAAAAGTTGAAGACAGACTTTGGAAAGGTATTAAAGCTTCTAGATACGGCCCTCCAATCACTCACCTCCTTTTTTGCGGATGATATTATCCTTTTCTCCAGGGCTTTTGAAAGGGACTGTGACATGATTAAGGAAGTTTTGGAAGAGTTTTGTTCTATCTCAGGACAAAAAGTTAGTTTGAAAAAATTTCGGGTTTTTTTTTTCACCAAATATTCACAAAAGTAGAGTTAGGTACCTTAGCAGAAGGAGTGGCTTGACCTTAACTGAAGACCTAGGTAAATATCTAGGAATCTCTATTCTTCATCAAAGAACTAACAAGAATACCTACAATTACCTAGTTGAAAAAGTCCAAGCAAAGCGTAGTGGATGGAAGGCAAAAAATCTCTCCATGGCAGGGAGAGCAACACTGATTAAATTTGTCACCTCCACCTTCCCCAATTACACCATGCAGACCACTTGGCTCCCACATATCACATGCTAGAAAATCGACAGACTCAATAGGAATTTCTTGTGGGAGGATAAAAAAGATAAAAAAGGGTGCACCTCATAAACTGGGACACTGTCTGTAAACCTAAGGAGAAAGGAGGCCTAGGACTCAGAAAGTCAAGGGAAAGAAATCTGGCCATGCTTGCTAAATTAGGTTGGAAAGCTGTTAGAGTATGTGTAGCTCATATTTGCTGTGTGCATAATGGCAAGGAGGCAGATGCCGGAGCGGGCGGAGCGTAGCGTAGCGGAGTGGAGCGGAGCCCTCGACGGCATCTGCCTTGCGGGATTTATATAAAGGGGATGCTGATTAGTTGGGGGTGCAGGGGCAACACCCTCGCAGTACAGGAGTATTTTTGTAAATACGTCAATATTAGGGTTATATAAATACTTAAGATGTAACCCTACTTCAATAATGAAAAAGAACGGCCGCTCGCTCTCGTGGATATAGGCACATTGCCGAATCACGTAAATATCTGTGTGTTATTTTCTCCTGTTTTCTTAATTGTTTGATTCCTTAATATTCACCATAATTACTGCACGATAACAACAAAAGCCAAGGAAAAGAAAGATACCATGTGGGTGAAAGTTATGAAATAAACATACATTAAAAACACCTCACAGGATTGGGAGCAACAACCCAATGGTTCCACAATTTGGAGAGCTATTCTTAAAACAAAACAAATTGTTAAGGAAGGTACTAAATGACTCATTGGAAATGGTCAAAACATATCTTTCTGGACTGATTGGTGGTGTGGAGGTACTTCTATTGTTAACAGAATGCAGGTTCCAGTCACGGCTGATCCCATCACCAAGGTGGCTAACTTCATCGACCCCTCAGGTAATTGGAACTTGAATCACCCAGGTATGTTCCTTCCCCCCAATGTTATCTCGAATATTCAGCTCACTTGTATCCCCGATAATAGTGAACTGACTGATACCCCATGTTGGGGACTCTCTAAGAATGGTCTTTTCTCTATTTGTACTGCTTATAAATGGTTTACTAAATCCAATGAGGATAGTAACCCATCGAACTTGAACTGGGACTAGATTTGGCACATGAAAGTTCCACAAAAGCTAAAAATTTTCCTCTGGCTTGTTCAAAGTGACAGATTCTTATCTAATCAACTCAGAGCAACTAGAAACATGACCAATAATGCAACTTGTGAGAGATGTAATGCCCACTACGAGACTACTTTGCATATACTAAGAGACTGCTCCAAAGCTCAGGCTGTCTGGAGTGCTCTCTTAGGAAACAACTGGACACCGACCCCCAGGATAATGATCTCCATAATTGGCTCCTTGGAAACCACAAAAAGAAAAGGAAAGAAAAATGGAAAGGTGTTGAATGGCCGATTGTTTTTACTTCTATCATCTGGCATATTTGGAAGGATAGGGATAAGGAATGTTTTGAAAATACTCAAACTTCCCCTAGTATCACTGCCAAAAATGCATGGCTTTTGGCACAGGAAATTAATATCGCCTTCCTTGAAAACATTGAGTGCAAAGAACACTACTCCGAGAATCTAATTAGTTGGTCGTTCCCCCCTGTAGATTGGATAAAACTGAATGTTGACGGATGCTCCAAAGGGAATCCCGACCTTACAGCGATTGGAGGAATTGTTAGAAATGAACAAGGAGTCTGGCAATGGAAGGCTTCTCAACTACTCTAGTGATCAAGCTGAACTCTGGGCAATTTATAAAGGACTTTAGATCACCCAATCCTAGGGTATGATGAATATCATTGTGGAAACTGATTCCCTGGATGCCCTTAGACTTCTCTCATCAAGATTAGAAGAATTTCACCCGGAGAGAGGGATCAATGCAAAATGAAAGAGGCTGCTCACACTCGGAGGGAAGGAAATTTGTGTTGACCACCTCGCAAATTTGGGTGTCAAGCAAAATGATAAATTAGTGCTCCTCAACTCCTTACTTAGCTCAATTGGAGAGCTTTTGAGAAATGATACTGCTAGCGTCTCCTATGTGAAAGGCTATTGTTAATTTTGTTTTTGAACCTTTCCAATGTACCCCAAAAAAAAAGTGATAATTTTTTTTATACAAAAAAAAAGCGATAAAAATAGGTAAAAAAAGCCACAAAAATAATAAGTTACACCAACTCTCCTTGTGCTTCTGACTCTTTAACTATACTTTTGTTATTTCTGAAATTACACTGACATCCCTTATGATGTGACATATTATAATAGAGGACACCCTCAAGCAATCGAGGGTCATTTTGTTGGTGATGTATGGAAAACCTTTTGACCTAAACTTTTTATTTTACCCTCAAGTAAAAAAATTATATAATTTCACTATAAGGCTTTTGTCCTCTCTAGTTAAACTATTTTGATACATCAACTCTAATTCTCTTAAAACCCTCCTCTTTAACATAATGTTTGTTGATGTTAACAAATTTAGAAACGAAAAAGGTTCAATTTTTTTTAGAAATCCAGTGTTGTATGTTGATTGATTGTTTTAGTATGAGTTTATTGTGACGGTTTACTTTATGTTTTAAAATTCAATAAAATTATCTGTACGTTCTTGATGTAATTATCTTAAGGAGTGATTCAATGTTAAAAGAAATTAGTTCTAATAGTGGTTCTATTAATGAAAATTCAATTTCATGTGTTTGATATAGAAGAATATTTATTATTGTGGTATTTTTAAACTTGGAAGACTTTAAGAAGGTTGTAATTAATGTGTCACACAGTTGTCTAATATAAGAAGGCAAAAACCTTACAGTAAAAATAGACATTTTTTTAACTTGAGGATAAAATAGAGAGTTTAGGTCAACAAATTTGCTTTTTTTAGAATTTAAGTAAAAATAATCCAAAAATATTTTCTAATCCTTTATCCAAAGTTCCCAAACTCGTACCTAATTAAGGATGACTCAATCTTTTAACTCAAATTAAGGAAGACTCAAACTGTTACTCAATAATCAGATTTTATTTTCTTTTAAAAATTCAATGATCATATTTCACTCTTTTTTATGCTTCTTTAAATTTGAGTTTATCTATTAAAATTCCTTGTATCAAATTAAATTGTTTACTCAAATATAATCTCAAATTTAAATAAAAATTTGAATATAATGTTGGAGATTCTATTAGTTATGATATATAACAAATAATTTAGAGGGTGACAAGGTTTGACTTCTCTTTTCACTTTCTAATTTTTTAAAAATTTAGAAAAATTTCAACTATACTTCCTCTAGTTTAATATATCTTCAAGGTTATCCCCTTTATTATCTAAAACATCATCGACACCCCTTCTAGTTTATATATAAATATCACAAACACCACCTGCCATTAAACCGCCATTTCTAATAAAAAAATTTCCTCTAAAATATCAAAATTACCCTTACATAAACCTCAATCAATTTTTTACATACAATTCGAGCCGATTAAAATTTATTATTTTACATATTAAAAATCGAGTTGATTAATTATTTTTACATATTAAAATTTGATCCGATTGAAATTCTATTCGTGATAATTAAATTTTATTTCTTTACGTATTAAAATTTGAACCTATTAAAAAAATTACATATTATAAAATTCGATTCGATTTGTGCTCAACTTGAGCTGTTAGTGCTGATTAAATTTCAATTCGAATCAATTAAAATTTATATTTTTTTATTTATTAAAATCAGTGCCAATTAAAATTCAATTAAAATTGATTCAAATTGATTTTTTTAGTATTAAAATTTGAAGCAATTAAAATTTATATTTTTTATGCATCAAAATTATGACCGATTAAAATAGAGGAGTCTCATTGAAGATATATCTATCTAGAGGGAGTGTAGATGAAGTTTTTTCTAAAATATATTATGAATAATTTAATAAAATTATATTTTAATTAAGCTCTTTAAGCTGACAGGGGTTGTCAGTGAAGATTCAGAAATTAGAAGGGGGCGTCTTTAAAGATATGATAAACTAGAGGGAGTGTAACTAAAATTTTTCCTAAAATTTATTATTTTTTAATTCAAAACCTAAAGATTCCCCTAATTAGACTCTAGTATGTGTGATTTGTAACTATCTCTAACCGGTTCAATAATTAATTATTAATTTTTAAAATTTATTAATTTTTTTTTTTTATCACTCAATTTTTTTTATAATTATTTATCTAATATTTTAAGTGATAAAATAAAAATAAATAAATAAATAAAAAAAGACACGAATTAAAATCTCATGCAGTGTATCGCACGGGACAGAGCACTAGTGTGTATATATATATATAGTTGGAGATGAAAATCAGTGGTACGCATTCCCTGGACAGTGTGTGGATGATAGAGCTTCCTCTCTGCTCTCTCCTCTCATCGTTTAACTACACCATAACCTATTTCCTTTCATTGATAAAATAACTCAGTAATGGTGGGGGAAATGCTTGATTAATCCAACACGAACCAAATTCTCTCTCTGTGTCTCTCCCTCTCTGAAAATGGCAACAGCGGGAAGATCCATTGCGGTTACGAGCTTTCCGTCGTCTTCTAATTTCAGCCGTAAAGCCAAACCCACTGCCGTACTGCCAATGGTAATCAGAGAACTCCCTTACACACACACAATATAAATTCAAGTAATTTCTTGATTTGAATCTTCTGCGTGTTAGTTGAATTAGCAATACCCAATTTCAATATCTTTATAGATACTATATTTACTATATGTATCTGTAACCGAGTAGTTCCACTGTTACTTGGAAAACAACCCTGTTTAAGAACAAAATTTCATCATATCATCAAGCATTGTTTGATTCTTGTAAATATGTGAGGGAGAAAAATAAATTCAACGTCACATTCTTTGAATATTTACATTATTTGGGCCTATATAAAATACTCAATTGAAACTCTAAGGTGTAGCTAGGTATCATGAAGGAGCTGTGTAAACTAAGATGGTATGATTTTGTATCTTGATAACCTGTGAGGGATAACCCACGAGGGATTAGGTAGATGTCTCTCGTGAATTTTCTAGTTTTGACGTGGATAGTTTATCTTTGACCGGATCGAGAAGGAAATTAATGAAAGTACGTGTAAGTTGACCGAGACATTCCTTTAACCATTGAACCAAAAACAAGAAAAATACTCAATTGAAGTTCTCAGTGAACAATGTGTTGTCTTGTATGTACTTGTTAGTAGTTACCATACCAGTAGCTAGATGATCAGATGGGTCATAGAATCGTCCCATATGCTAAATTAGCTCCATATAAGAAGTTGGCATTCTCAAAAAATTTCAATTGTTTGGTATTATTTAAGACTGAAACATCGAATCAAACTGTGTTTACTGCAATTTACTTGGCTTAGTTGAGCAGGCTTTGCATCCTGTGGTTTAACGAGTGGTTTTATACATCAGATGGTGAATAAATCAGTCATTTTGCGCCTCAACGTTGCCTGCTTTGCTGTTCAAGAAACATCTACATCAGCATCTACAGGTGGTTTCTCCATTCTTCAGACATACCCATTGTCGTTTCTTCTAATTTACGCGCTTTTTTGATGCCTCGACAAAGTCGAAAACTATGGTAGTTAGACATATTTAGTCTTATTTTTTGGTATTCATAATTGTTAGAATTAGTTGCCGCTGAAACAGAGGAGAAAAAGGAAGCAAAGACTAATGAAGAATCAGCTCCTGCAAAGCCAAAGCCAAAGCCAAAGCCAAAGCCTGCAGCTAAAGCTCCTGCCAAGCCTCTCCCTCAGATGATGGAGGAGGATGTTATCCCTTCACTCAAATCAATTCTCGAAGCTCAAGATGATATCTCTGAAATCGAATTGTCTTTCGAAGACAACAAGGTTAGTCCTCCTCTATGTGGAACTCATGCAATCGACTGATGGTGTTTCCTACTGTTTCCTTACCTTGATGGAGGGTTTTTGACACATTATAACAGTTGGAAGGTTCATTTTCTAAGAAGGGCAATACATATTCATTTTGGGCATTCTTCCCCAATGGAGTTCTCACGGGTAAGTCTTTTCTGCTGGAACTATGCTCCTACTAGTACCATATTGCCAATGTGTATCAATGCCCTATTTATCTCTCTGGTTGGGACAGGTCCAAAAGGTTTTTCTTTGTCCTCCTATGGGTCAGAAGTGAGCACTGTAGAGCCGTTCCTCATAGATGAGAAGAGAATCACAGCAAAACATGTTGTCTTTTGGGTCGAGAAGCGTTTAGCAGCTCAAGGAATAATTCCTGTGTGGGAATAATAATAACAATCTATGATCATCACAATTTGTATCAATTTTTATTGATGATATATACACAGTTGCTAACATAAATTTGCATTCCCTCACATTTTTTGTATAACCAACAAATTATAAATACTGCCCCTTCTACCATGCTGCTCACTTCTACCATGAGTTCAATCCTATATGTTTCACTGCCTCTCATACATTTGTTATTTCCTTTCCTTAGATCCCACATTACCTACCTGCTGCCTCAGTTTCATTTACAATTGACCACTAGAAAATCCTATTTTTTCATGTCAATTGCTAGACCTGAAATACAATTTTCCTGAGGGGAAGCTGCTTGACCCTAAAGAGAAGTAGAAACGAAGCTCAATTAGTTTTTGTACAACGTTCTTGGCAGAATCGGTGCCTCCATCATGCTCTTATTTTATACAGAGAGCAACCCTACTCCGCAAGAAATAGTTATCAAACAAATTTTACGATATCAAATCCACCATGTATTGTTTGGAAGGATGAGCACTTGTCATCGCCCATCCAAGTTCAACCTCTTTCTCTTGGACAAAGCAATGTGAAAATAATGCAGGGGCTGTAAAATCAGTGATCCAGATCTTCTAATTGAAAATGAGCTATCAAGTAGAACGTGTATTGTTTCCTAGAACATAGAATTTATGGATACCATTCCCTACATTCATATTTGCGGATACTCTTTACTGAGACATAAGCCATACACAAGGCTACACACACAAATATCCAATAACAAGGGTCATTTTTTTCACCATGCATGTATGATGAAGGTGTGGACCAGCCTTTTGTCGAATAAATTAAACATGACGTAGAAAGATAGCACATATCAAGGTTCACATAACAAGTACAACAAACTCTCAGATCATACAGTACACAGAACTTTGAAGGTCTAGATCCAAGCATGAGCTTCAAGTAAGGTTTGTGATTCATAACTGTTGGATGTCAGGATTTGCCTTTGCATTTTGCATTTTACGCCAAAGTTCATCCAAGAAATCCATCTGTGAACCAGGAGGTCCCACACTTGCCGTTGGAGACATTAACTGAAAACAACGTCAGACAAAATATAGTATGAGAGAGAGAGAGAGAGATTTTTGGGGGTGGGGCATGAAGTCAAAGGAATACTTCTATATTTACCTGATGGGGAAGTCTAACATGCCCCCAGGCCGGTGCACCACTTCCTGTATACAAGACTGGCCTTTCTGGAAAAAAACATGAGAAAAATAACAAATACCAGTTAAATAAACCACTACGGTAGATTACAAAGAGGCAGTGCTCCGAGTATGGAACCAAAAGCTATTGCTTACAAACTTTCACATGTATTAAGTTCAACCAGAAAAGAAAAACCCATACACAAAGCACATGAAGCTTTTTCCCATATAAAAGATGCTAAATTAAACTGGCCACATCATTCCAAGAAAAGTAACAGTTGGAAATTTCAGTCGGTCTCTCACTCACCAGCTAAATCTATTGATGGATTACTGTATGCATTCATAGCAGCTGTCCAACCTGTAATATAAGATATACAAGAGGCATGGTCATTCACAGAAACAAATCAATGAGAAACAACCACAGCATGGCATTCAAAGTTTTTCCTGGACAGGAAAGTAGACTGGATCCCTATCAAGAAAGGGGGGGGAAGTGATTCACTGTATCATATCAAAAACCAAAGGAATTCTCAAATAAATGGTCCAATTGGAATGGGCATTTGACAACTAATAACAATGGCGTACAAGTTCAAATTTATTAAATCCTAATCTTGCACAATAGATCCAACATCCACTCCCCCCCCAAAAAAAAAAAAAAAAAAAAACCCTTTCCTTTTCCCCCAAAAAAACATTGAATTTGCTAAAGATCCATGATACAGGATAAAAATAACACCGACAGATATAATAGCGACACCAACTTAACTCAGCCTTGTACCAAAAAATGGGGCTTTGGGCATGATTCTTGTTATACTATCTCAATAAGTGGCTAAATCTTTTGTCAACAACACATTATAATTCTTTTTGTTTTTGGAAAGTAACGTGAAAAATTCATATCTACACAAACTTTAAGATTTCTGTTTTGTGTATAACAAGGACAAGTAAGCAGCTAGTGAGCGATCCACATAGGTGCAGCTAACCAGCTCTTCACAAATATTGTAGGGCATAAAAAGACATTAATAAAGTCTGACTCAGCAGCAGTAAATGTCATGGCTAAACTACAGTCAGAAGACATGGGAGGTAAGCACATGAGTTTAGAAAAAGATTACATCCAAGAATTTAAAGCTATTACCAGCAAACATCAAATTTTCATTATTTTCTAAAAAGAAAACGTAATTATGCAAACGGTCTTTGACAAACAACGTTTGCTTAAAAGTTCCATACTCGTACTTGTAAACATGTAGCATACATAGTTCACATATCTTTTCTTGTAGGCCACATCAGCACAATACACCATTAATAGATCAAAATTATCAATTAAGACAGGAAAAATACAGGGGACGAAGTATAAAACATCCTCATCAACATGTACACAGTCTGACATTATTTTTGGCAATTAAAATGCACATTAGAGTTTATTCATTTCATTAGGTCATAAAGCCACGTTTTCGTGTCCAGGAACAATGTGATGGACTCGGGCTCAAAAAAAGAAAAAAGATTAGGAAAAAAATCCCAGAGACACAAACAAGAAGATAGGTGTAGGTCACATAACAAATCTATTAACCACAAAAGGATCTATCAACTGACAGAGTAGACAATGCAGTGGACACATACGGTTATTCAGAAGCTGAAAAGCTTCACTGTTACAACACCCCTGCAAGGGTATTAACCGTGAATGAAGATTGTCATTTGCATAATTGTTGCCAGCTCCATCCCAATGATCTGCAATGGGAACATTTTTTAAGGCAGCATTTTGGTGTTTCTCTCCATCAGTTTGGTAAGTGTTAGCTCTTTCAAGTCGATCTGCAAGTTGAATAGAACAATTTCTGGATGTGAAAATTGTCATGAAGACTGCAAAGATTTGTACCCTGACAATAACCAAGCTCAAATTCTCGAGATCAAAAAATTTTCATTCTCCATTTGATAACATATTCCAAGAATCGCATTCCCACATACATCCAAATTCCCATGAAACAGAGGAATAGTTTCCACCTCAGGCAGTAGGTGCCATTTCCAACGAATCATGACTAGTGAAAATATTAAATCAGTGAAAAGATGGTATTTCCTAATAGTATAGTTATTCAGAGGCAAATCAAAGAAACACAATCTAATGCCCAATTGTTGGATAATAGGGGGCTAATTCGTAGGGAACATATCGGCCCACGTGCTCGTATTGCCTAACAAAGATCTCATTGTAGTTTCACTGATTTACGATCATCATGTATTAGTGCCATAAAACTGTCAAGGTCTCAAAAAAGAGCGATATAATCTAGGAACAAGTTTGTGTTCAGAATCAGCTGATAAATGGAACTGAATAAATGAAAACTCAAATTCCCTTGAGTCTTACCTTGCATATAACCTTACGATTGGATATTAGGCACCCAACACCAGAACAACTCTCTAATCTCTCCACTTTTAAACTCATAAAATACCACATTTTGATGCACAATAGCACCTGTTTTGTATACTTCTAGGCATTCCAATGACATCATTAATGCAGCAACAAATCTCCCTTCATTGAACAACTCTTTTAAAGCTCTTACATAATAGATGGGGTATTTAATCCTCTTTTTTTTCAAAAATTTATTTCCCTTCCTTATAGTTTGCAAGGAACACCTTGTAAGATAAATTTGCGCACACAAAACAAAAATGACAAATTAGGTATTGATAGGTCACTCACCTCCTCCAGATTTGCGTCTGCCCAGTTGACGATTCCTGCATGTAAGGAAATCATGGGCCCACTTAAACATGAATCATTCTCACCCTTATTTCCAAATTAACACATATCTTTCTCTGTCTATATCTATAGAGGGGAGAAGTGTATTAATCAATTTAAACCCTATTCCCAAATTAAGATGTATCTTTCTCCGTCTATATCTATAGAGAGCGAAAATTGCACATATACACACCTCTGATTGGGAGGAGCGTAGCGCTTAGGGGCGATGTTGGCTGTGGACGAAGAGGAATCGACGGCGGTAGGGGTTTCCAGCATTGCTAATCCCTCTTCAACACTAATACTACCACCACCAACTCTTTATTGAAGAGAGAGAATTTGATTATTGTAGGTGATTTTTCTCAGCTCAGAAGAGCATGGGCCTTGAAATTCATAGACTTCTTCACCGGTCACTCCTCTTCTTGCTTATCTACCTACCCCACCACCGTCGACTGATCTCCCGGAGAGAGAAGAAAGTGAGGGTTTTGATTCATCCGATTTCAAGATAATTTTCTTTCAGCTGGTAATGAGTGGCTGCTACATTTGAACAATAGATCCACGCGCTATGAAAGAGCGTGGATGGTGGTCTCGATAGATGGTTGTAACTTGTTTATTAATACAACTATGGATTTAAAAAATTGATTTAAAAATTTAATTTGATGATATGTTTATTATATTTATCATTAATTTAATTATAAAATCTAATATTTATTGAAATTTATTATTTATTTAAATTTAATTATAATAATTAATCAAGTTAAGTTTTTAAGTTTATTTAAAATTTTTTATATTTTATACCATAAAAAATTTTATCACTTTATATCTTGATAGATTAAATTTATACTAATAAAATGGAGCAATTTCAAATCAAAATCACCCCTTCCATCTAAATTAGAAGAATGGTCAGGATTTGATTCAAATTTATATGTACGGTTCGGATCTAATTTAAACTAATCTATTTAAATTCAATGGCTCACACTGTATTCCACCCAATTACATCCTCCAGGCCAGTTTAACCGCACCCGCATGCCACCCATAATGCCATCCAAAGCCAACACTCTCTCTCTCTCTTAGAGCTCCTCCACCATGGCTAAACCAACATCAAAGATTTCTTCTGTCGTTGTCCAGGTACACTCCTCTCTCTCTCTCTCTCTCTCTCTCGACTCACACACACGCACACATACACACAACAACATTCATACAGACAGTATCAATTTGATTTGGCTTTAATTTGATGTGTTATGGAATCATTATTAGGTAAAAACTTCACTGTTTATATTTTCAAAGGTTGCAATTTGGTGGTAGTAAGTGCTATTAAGAATTTGTATTGGAATGGGTGAGTAGGAATATAAAATATGAATTTTTAAATTCGTATAAGAATGAATTTCAGCGGTTTGTGGTTTGAAATCAAGAATTAAGCATGATTTTGATGGAAAACAAAAACATGACCACTTTTTTTTCCTTAAACAACCTTGCAATTTTGTGGGAACGAATTAGTGTTAATTGCATGCCTAATTCATTTGTTTCTAGATTTTTTCCAAGTGTAGTTAATATTGCTCTTCTTTCAAAGGTGTTGCTTTCAAGTTTTATGGTCTGTGTTTTCGTTGTTAGGATGTATGTGCTTGGTTTATTTATCCATCGTGTATAATAGAGCCTTTTTTTTTGGGGGGGGGGGGGGGGGGGAGAGTCAACTATATATGTGCAATAAAGAAGGATAACATGGCCACTTTGTTTTTCCTTAATTCATTTAGTCCAACCAGTTAACCTACCTCTGGATTGATTTGGGCAAGCCTGTAAGTTTTTCCCTTTAGTTATTTTGGTGTTGTTTTCTTTTTCGGCTATTCAGCTGTTTACTATCTATTCAAAAAAAAAAGTTGTATATTACTGATAAAAGCATTTTTTGTTACAAGGTTTTGCTTTGAAATGTTGGTTCTTTAAATATTGAAGAACCTAATTTTAGTTTGCAATAAGGGTTGACATTTGATGCTTATGCGGTTTTTAGGTTTTGGTTGCTTTGGATTGTGCAGTATCAAAGGCTGTCCAAGTCCTCTCTCTTTCTCTCTCTCTCTCTCTCCCCCCTAACAATGATGCAGTCCTTTTTTCTCCTTCGGATAAATCATGTTATTCTTTATCTACTTGACTGAGTTGTTATGACAAGAGTATCTTCTATTAGGTTGTCACGAAAGGAAGAGAACAAAAAATTTTGTATTTTTCGGTATTTTGTTGATTGGTCTTTTGAACTTAAGTGAGCTAAATGCTTTTATTGAATTTCAAGTGTTTATCGTTCTTGAACTCTACAAAATGATTATGATTCCCTCATTGAGTATGATCTTCTTAACTTTTATTCCTTGTTTTGTGGTTAGTGGAGCCATTGTATTGAAGATAGCAAGAACAAGCAAAAAGTAAGAACATGACACACATACAAGCCCAGGACACACAACACAGCACACACACAAACCCACAACACAGCACATAGAGCACACACACAAACAGAGAACACGCACACACACAGGGTGTTTAATTTGGGTTTTCATACACATATACACACATCATTTGGGTGTTAATTTGGCTTTTCGAATGATAGGTCTTTAATTGGGTTTTTGAATTTTAGGGTTTTTCAAATTGGGTTTTTGAATTTTGTTGTTTATTTTGATTTGTTTGGATGAAATTGAATGTTAGGGTTTTGATTTGGACTCATTTCGCCTTTGGCACATTCACAACGAACATAAAGAATATAACTAAATGGTTTAGGACTTTTGAAATTCATTCCATGCTTTCTTTAATTTCGTTGTTGTTCAGCTTGGTGTTCATTTGGAGTCTTTTGACCACTGTAGGTGATGATTAGCTTAGAAGGGTGGTTAAATGACTTAAAAATTAGGTTGTGATAGTTTTTCATAAACTTAAAGTACCATCAAGTATAGGAACCATTGAAACACTTTTGATTGGTGACATCATTTTTCAGACACATTGGTTTTTTGCTTTAGATGTATCATTTCATTTTTGGCTTAATTCTCTTATGGTTGTGCATTCAGTGTGTAATTTCCAACAACAAGGTTAACTTTTGTTCGTGGGTTTTGACACTCGGGACGGAAAGTTGTTAAATGTGACAATCATGTTTGTTGAAGAAGAATGCAGCATCAGAACCATAGTGCAGGAGATGCAGATGGTGGAATGGAACATATATGCAACTGCAGAACACGATGAAGAATTCCAACAACACAGACCACATGATGCAGCTACAAGCATAGAGTTCTAGCGGTGCAGATTGTGTATAAATAGATGATGTAATTGTTCACATGAATCTATTGAGAATAGATCTTCTTCTCCCCAAAATTTAAAATTTATTCTTCTCCACTTTTTAACAATGTTTGTTGGTTTTGTGCATTTTCAATAAAATTGGACAAAAATATTATCAAGGTTCGGTTTTTGTTTTGAGAATTTCCTGCATATGGGATATAAAATGTGTAGTCTTGGATAAAAATGTTCTATTATGTTTATGGGTTTGCCACATGTGAGTCTCCGAATTAGATTATCTTCATCGACACCGTGTTGGGTCCGACTGTGGTTGGCAGTCAATTTCACTAACCGAAGTTAAAATACTTGACAAATTTATTTGTTCTTCTGAGGGTGTGTTACTCCATTCACTTTCTCAAGCAAGCTGATCTTCTGAGGGTGTTATAGGTCTTATAGTTGAGTACTTAGTGGTGGATCTCTCATAAACTATGTTCATGTATTTGTGATTTTTAGGTACCATTAATCTTACAACTCCGTTGACAAGGTGGTGATTTTTGCATTTTATTTTTCTCTCTATACTTGGTGATCGATGAAAATACTTCATTCTAATGGTATATATTTGCAGAGCATTGACTTTTAAGTATTTTTTTTTGAGCACAACTGTGAGTAAAAACTAGGTTTATATAGTTTTAAGCATATAAATTTTATGAGTTTTCAGTTCAAACTTATGAGACTCTGATTATTAATGTTTTGTTTTCTCTATCTCTTATTGTATTATTTTTGTTTGGTTAATTAAATTTAGTTCATACATGACTTCCAAATTAGTGTTTTAGTTCGAAAGGGTATGCATCGTGTTGTTAATTAAAATGTGTAGGTAATGCTTTGTTGTGCATACATGCAGGTATGCTGAGGATGCAATTTAAGCATTTGGGGATTCAGTTCAACCTAACATGTCAATGATCAATTTTTTTTCTTTGGTGTTTGCACAATGACTTCAGTTATGGGTTATTATTAGATATAAATTGAGTTTAATGTGTCCACGCTCAATGCTTTTTTTCTTTTATTTTATAGCAAACTGCCTTTAGGTAATGTAGCATTTTTCGAGTTTTAATTTAATTTGTTGTTACCCTGTGCCTTCAGGCATGGTCAATTACTAATTTTTTATATTACATTATCAGTGTATCAAAAGTATTACAATATAACATTTTTGGTAACTTAAATTATTGTTTTCCTTAAAAGTGAACTCATTAACTTTCACAGAAAAAGTAACAAAAAGTTAATAGAAAGATCACATTATAACACTTTTGATATATTGAAAGTACAATATAAAAAATTTAATCTTTTAAGAGTATAAAGTGAAAATTTTAAAATCTTTCAAGGTGGAAAATAAAATTTGCCCCAAAAAAAAGCACTTATGCTTGTTTATTCTCCAAAATCCAAACTCATTTATTTCATTTCTTTCCTCATGTCTTGAAACTTGTAAGCACAGATGTTGGATTTTGTTTTTATTTACGGAGATGATCCATATATTTTTTCTTTTATTTTTTTTAGTGGATCATTTATCATATATTCAATTATTACCCTCACTTAGAGTAACTTCAATTCACTCTCTATTCCTCATTTCCTAGTCATTTTATGTAGTTAAACACCAAAAAAACCTCTCAACCCACTCTCATCTCGCTCTCTATTTCTCATTTCACTTTTTTGATTCTCCAAATCTAGTGAGCCCTCCCCCCATCCCACTCTCTCTCTTGGTTCAATCAACTTTCTCTTTTGCCATTTTACCATTTTTTATTCTTCAGCTTTTTTAGTTGTGGCTCTTCCTCTTTCTATCTTATTGATTCACTAAAATTCCATAACAATTTGATAAGAAGAACCCAAAACTGATCTCTCTCTCTCTTATGGTTGAAATATGACTGTTAAAAATATGATAATGACATGGTAGGTTATGTGGTATTCAGGGGCAGAGCCAAAGATTTCTTCTAGGGTGGCACATTTTAATTATAACTTTTATTTTTTTTTCTCCAATAAATAAAAATAATGTATACATTTACATTTTTAGCATCGTAATGGTTAGGTAAAAATTCATTAAATGCAAAAAGGCCAAAAGCTAATATACATAACATAGCCTATGCAAACAACAAATAACAAAAAGGGGTAAATTATATTACAACCATTTACAACTGACCCCAATGCTTAAGAAAATTTCATTGATTATTTGAACTTTCCGATTCATCACGGCCACGAAATGCAAGTCATTGTCTTAAAAAAAATTGAATGCAATCAATCGATGCATGTAAACTAGTCCTATACTCA